TTGGACAGGAGTGTCCTCTGTGACCCAAGAACCCTTAGCCTTTACCACTCCATGTTCTGCTGCAATTTTGCCACCCTAGCTATTCTGGACGTATGTCTGTGATATGTGTGCAAAAAAAGCCTACATTTTGTGAGTTGAGTGCGACCTTGCACGGTACAAACCCAGCTTGTTTTAACAGCATTTAATAATACACCAGTAATTGCAAGTTCACCAATATGTGTCATCTCTAGATTACCTAATCCACGAGTTTGGCCATAGGTCTCCTTTGATTAATGATATTTACACATCATTCTATAATTAAATTTCCTAACAACTAGTTGTTTTGTTTGTACATGTAGATATCAATGAATGTACACAAGGAACTGCCAAGTGCTCAAAAAATGCAACTTGTACTAATACATTTGGCTCATACAAGTGCAGCTGCAAGAATGGTTACAGTGGAAATGGCTTCACTTGTGATGGTTAGCAATTATTTTGCCCCAACCCTTAGTTTGATTTCTGATTATTTCATCAGTAAAGTGTTCACTAGAGGCAGTGTTTCATTCTCTGGCTTATTAATAAATAGCTTTCATTTGAATTGTCAACCGTGCCAAAGATTAAGAGACCAGCATTTCTGGAGACTGACTACTGATTACTGTAGGTGCAAGATGTACATGTACATGTAAATCAAGCCTGTAAAAAAGAGATAACCACTGATCATCGCTTAGGAAAAGACCCCAAGTAGCAGGCCAATAGCAAAGTGTTGTGGACAGTAAAGACTGCAACTGCTAACCCTTACTCGAACTGCTTGGAGAGAAACATCAATTACTAACTCCCTGTTCATCAGCAATGCCCTCATCCCATACTCAACTTTGTTAAGTTGCCTTTAAACAACTTAAATTTGGACTCACAGTGAAGCTGGGGTTCAAAGACATTGATTACATGTATATTTTCTCTTTTTAAAATCAAGATATTGATGAATGTGCACAAGGAGATGCCAAGTGTTCGAAGGAGGCATATTGCGTTAATTTACCGGGTTCCTACAGTTGCAACTGCAAGGAAGGGTTTAGTGGAGATGGCTTCAACTGTGTTGGTTAGTTTCCTTTTTGACTAATTGTTTTATTAGTGTACTTTGGTTTACAAAATTGAGAATTCCAGTACCAAAATATGTATAAGGGTCCAAGATTAATATTTAAAAAAATTGATGCGTATTTATTATTATTATTATTATTATTATTTTTCATTGTTCACAGCATCTGGGACTACAACTGTTGCTGCCATATTCTGTCATGTTGTGATGCTTGTAGCCGTTGGTTTGCTGGAATTCACAGTGTAGATGTGATCATGTTTTTACGGGGAAATCTCAAGTGGAATTTCGATAGTTTCTATATTAAATGGCAGCAGAACTTCTCATCCAGCAACCTACAGTATCAATCTTTGAAAACTTCACAACTGCCATTTAAATTTCCATTTTCCATTTCTGACATTGGCATTTCTTTTTAAATGTACTGTTGACTTGTGCAACTGGCAAATTCAAGCACTGGGTGTAAATCACTCAAAGTCGAGACCGGTTCTTGTTGGGCACTTTCCATTTGACCTACAAGCATGCTAGTTTGATTTTCCAGACCTTTCCAGTGGCAAATGGAAAAGCATATTCTGGAATTTCCGGAAAAGAGAAATACATGTACCCAAATTAATTTTAGAAATTTTCGGCTTTTCTGGAAATCTTTCAGGGAAATTTACATAACCATCACATGCTCCTGTTTCAAAAGTTCCAGAATTCTTGGTTGAACGGAAAGTGTCTATTGTTTACCTTCAAACGAATTTATGAATCGGAGTTTGTTGTTGTAATGATATTATTTTACTAATAGGCCTCATTAAATCAAGAAAAAGTATAGCAATTGATTAGTAAGAATCACACCAGGAGGGGGTACTACCAGAAAAACTGGGTGGGGATGTGCGGCTGGCTTCCCAAAACCCTTACCCTATTGATGACGAAAATCTGCAATTGTGTTCAGACCAATGTTAAATTGCCGTAAGCATAATTTGTCATGGGCTTTCATTGATGGTCTTATCGATAATGATGAAAAGGTAGCTTCTAATGTTGAAAACATACTGATATCAAGGCTAGAGTGCAAAAACCATACCCTATTCAAAATGGCCAGAATCGATACCCTGATACCAAAACTGCTGAAAAACCGTACCCTTTGGGGCCGCACATACCTGTATATCCCATATAAGGGGGTACCCCTCCCCTCTCCCTGGTATCATGCTACATCTTTACTTGGTTTTCACACAGAGGTATTTATTAGAATTTTTACTTGGCATAAAGTTCTTTATTGCACAGTTTTTACGACCAATAATATTAGTATATTTGTAGAATTATATCACTTGAAATCACAAAAGTGATATTTTGATGACTGAATTGAAAACATTTTTAGTTGAAATATTAGTACTGTAGTTCAGGTTTTAAGTTTTAGAATTAGTACTAGCAATGTGGCATCTGAATCAAATGATTATCATTTTCAATTTTTTTTTACATCTAAAGTGATTAGTATCTGATTGCTTGCCATGATATACCTGGTAGTTTTAAAATAACTGAAGCCAACATGGTTCAGAATAAGTAATTGAATGATAACAGGGTGATCAGGGCTTTCCACAGTTCTCGTCAAATTTGTCCAATACACATCATCACATATTGTACAATCAATGATTGATTGACTGTAAATCAATTGAGTGATCAATTAATTAGTAAGGCAGTGAGTAAGTCAGTCAGTCAGTTATTATGGTATTGCGATTTTCTAGCACTCGACATTTTAATGTCAATTAGTCAGTAGTCTACATGACTCGGTAGAGAACGATTTATTTAAATTAGTTAGTAAATCTACCAGGCAATGAATCTTGTATAATTGAGTCTGAAGATGGTATAGAATAAATCCGAAATGTAATATCACTAATTCTCCTTGCATCTGCTGTCTTTATTAATGCAGTTACTCGGATTAACCTTTATCCTTTATGTAAATAACAAGGTCCTGCATATTAGAACGTTAAGAGGCCCTTTATTTCAAGGGAGTTTCCCGTTCGGAAATAGAACACTCCAAACTCGTCCCGAGGGCGCTTTTTCCTTTAAAGTTTCGGAAGGGCGGGAAAAGCCAAGGAGAAAAAAATGGTAAATGCAAACAAACAAACAAAGAAATAAAATAAAACGAATACAATTTCCTCAAATAATTTTGAGCAGATTTCGTTTGGGGGGTTGACGTCGCCGACATTTTCCCCATCGAAATTTATTCTTCCTGAATTACTTTATTTGGATCATATTATCAAGGGACCAATGGTCACTTCGCCCCATGGTCATTTCGCCCCCAGTCACTTCGCCCCATAATCGAAGTCACTTCGCCCCATACAGAAGTTACTTCGCTCCATGATATAATTAAAGTGTATATATGCCCTACAATATTGTCTCTCTTTGCCTAACTGATGTTATAGTCGTTCCATTTATAAATGCGATGTTGATGACATGTTTGTAATAGCTAGTTTCACTCGCCCCAATCTCTCTTTGTCCCCCACGCAATGCCGATGTTGTTAATGCACTCGTTGGTAATTCGCGCTCGTTGATCGATGGCCGATCGAATTTCAAAAACTGTAACCCTGTAGAGTATAAATTGCATATAAAAACCTTCTGTTAAACATGTTCGTAGTTAAAGGACTTAAAAAGCGAGCGAGATCTTGGCGTAGTTATAGTGCGATTGTGTCCAAATATCTTTGTTTGATTACGCGCGTTGTTTAGTGTTCACTTGTAGCACTTCCATAGCAACAAGTCAAACAAAGTCCGTTGATCGATCGATGGCCGATCGTATTTGAAAAACTTTGAAAACCATCCACGGCTTTACGCGCGTTGTTTAATAAACTGCCCTCAAAACCTTTTTTATTGAGTCTAAATGTATTTGATTTATTGCGCGTGTAATTGTACAGAACTTCTGTTAATGAAGACTATTGTTGTTTCCTTGCCACACGTACCCACGTACCCACGCGTAATGTGTGAACTTATGCCAATTCAAGACTTTTCAATTCGAGGCTTTTTTTTGGCACAACGCGCCGACCTTTCAAAGACTTGTTTATTTGAAAATTCGGAACACGACCTTAGCCAGAATCAGTACGAGCACGTCAGCAAGGCCTCCAATGTGATGGTTGTTTTCGTTGCCAACATCGTACTTGTGGAACGGGAATCTCCCAGTGTGGTTACCGTTTTGCTGTGCAAACTGGTGCTTCCATCGACTGGCGCTGTGCTACCTGCCTGTCCATACGCAGGGAGGCCAAACTTACTGCCCTGCAGATCCGCCTTGTTTCTGACAGGAAACTCAAAAGAATCCAGCAACGAAAGTACCGCGACCTCCAGACCAAACTGTTCGACTTGTGGGACGAATACAAGGCCAACGAACGGTCAGCCAAGCGGTTGCTGAAACCCTGCTCTTACCTGAATGCACCGAGGGACTAGGCCGATAAACCAAACAAACAAAAACTCAAACGGCTCCTTTAGGAGCCACCAAATAAAATAAAAGCAATGATCAACAATGCAGTACATAGAATACATAGAATACAGATCCCGGGGGTGGGGCATTTACCCTCTTTCTTCGCCCCCACCCCGGGGCATTTAGACAGCTTATGTGTCCCCACCCCGGGGAATTTGCCCATTTTTTAAAAAAAAATGCT